CTACTAGTATTTATATATTTTTGTTAATGTTTTATTTCTGTAATTTTGTATATAAAGGATTAGTAAAAAGAGTTTATATAAAATTTTGTAATCAGAGATATAGTGACTTAGTGAAGTGATCAAGTAGTCACCTCCAAGTAGCATATCCAGAGTTCAATTTCTATCAATAATAAAAAATTAAATTCTTTTGTATAATAGTAATTATTTGGGTTGAGATGTAGATCTTGTAACAATAATCAAACCAAATAGGTGCAAGAAATAATGATCATTTAATAGATGATTATCTCGCAGGCCCTATTAAGAGTAGTAATACAAACTTGAAAGATTATAGAGCATTCATATAATAGAAGAATTATACGAAGGAATACAAACTGATAAAAGGTAGTATAAACTCACGATAAATTCTTGTGATCTGTGTAAATCTGTTAGACTAGTCCCAAATAGAATCTACTTGGTAAGTTTCAAATAAAGAGATAACATATACTTTTGACAGTTCTGAAAAGTCTAAAAAGAGAACCAAAAAGCTGCAGATCTAGATGAAAACGGGTGTTTGGCAAGCATTATATCAGAATTCTGAAATATATATAGATAGGTCAGATTAAAGTTTGCTTATTTTTAACCTTTTTGTGCAGATTATTTTTATTTATAGTAATTAGTTTGCTTATTTTTGCTTTTTTTTGCAGATCTTTTTATATTTAGTAATTTTATAAAATCTTACTTTACAGTATATATTTCAGGGTCCTACTATATCAACCAAACCACCAGAATCGATCAGAAGAAAGGTATAGGTCAGTATCCAGGTTAAGTCAGTAAGAAAGCAGATAACATATCTGAATTAGAAGTTTGATGAAATAGTGAAAGAGTTCCTGATTGGATGAGTACCAGAGCTGGGGTATGATTAAACTCTATAAGGGCAAAAGTAGATAACAGTAACAGAAATAAAAAGCTGCAAATACTTGAAGCCTTTGCAGTAAAAAGGACAGAAATTACTCTAAAAATAAAAATTAAGTTTTTATTAAATTTGGGTAAATTTCAATATAATTAACATTTTTCGATTATAAATAAAAGTCGATTTGCATAATGAAAAATCAAGATAATGTAAAAGAAAAGTTGCACAAGACTGTATAAGGCAGAGCATATTATGAGATTACCCAAAAATCACCTGCTAACTTTAACTAATCAAAATCATGAAATTTTGATTAAACCAAATCAGTTCAAAAACAAAAGAAGTGATTAAACTTAATTATCTTAAAATGAGATATATTCGAGTTTTCACTCTTTTTACTGCAAAGACTCAACTTGTTCTTAGACTAGATATAAGTTATCAAAGCTTAGATTAGCCTAAATATAAATATAGAAGGCTTTAGCAGATTTAGCTTGAGATCAAAGAACTTTCTAAAATAGTTGAGACTATTTTAAAGCTTTAAGTCAGTATATAAAAATAAAGTAATATTAAGTATCATCACTTAGATATAAAAAGGTTGGTATATAGGTGCAAAAGGTTTAAATGAGTAACCCCTAGTGGGATGCAAGTACAGCATTTAATATAGAATTTAATAATAGGCAGACTATTTAAGTAAGTACTCAAAAGACACAGGTATAGCTAGTTGTACTCTACAAATATATATAGCCATCAGATATATCTAATAGTTAAAAATACTACTAATATTCAAATAAAGAGCAGTGTAACAAAGAGGTCACCTTAATATTAAAAAAATAAATAAAATTTTGTCATTATTTTATTATTATTATATATAGATCATTATATATAATATTTTTAGGATAGTAATTAACATCAAACAGATTTGTAACTAGAAAAAATTATAATAGTTTTAGAAAGATAGTCAGAGAATAAATGATTAATATAGTAGTTCTTGTAAAAATATAAAATAAATATAAAAAGACTTAGTATATTATTAAATCTTAATAAACAAAAACCAAGCCTCTTATTTTAATTTTTTTCAAATAAACTTACTGTATTTACTTGGTTATTTATTTTATAATATATTTAAAATATGAAGTCATATATATAATTTTTAACCTTTAACACAGATTAAAATATACTTTAACTTATAAGCTTCTTTTGTTAAATAGCTTTATATATAAAGATTTCTATGATCATATAAATAGTTTTTTATTTAGTTAGCAGATTTTTATATTTATAGACAAGCTTAAAATATTCTTTAGATTTCTTTTATAATTTAGTTGTTTTCTTTGTATGTTTATTTTTATATTTATTTTTTTTTTTTCGGTGTTAAGGTGAGGTTATTGCCTTATATCTTTATTAAATATTTAGTTGGGATATTTACCTTATATGGCTACATATCTATCTAAGAATACAAGCTTTGGACAATTATCTATGACTTAAACCTATCAGAGTATATTACGTTTTTGCCACGTATTGGGTTATACCTGGATTTGGTGTTCAGACTATTTCTAGTTACTCACCATATTCCTCCCATGTCTCATCATCAACCTTAATTACTTTCAAATTGGTTCTTTTAGGAAATCGGTCCTTTTACAGCCTCCCAATTTGGTGTGTCTGTTATTTGGTATGTACTAGTACTAGTAGATAACCTTTCTTGTGGGTGGCCTCTCATATATATATCTCAAGCCAGATGCTTGCTGCCACCACTAGTCCCACATAAGAAGCATTGGTATCACATTTTGGGTCTTTAGACTTATCTTGTGTTTGCACTGCCCATTGTCGGCTTGTATCTCTTCATACAACAATACATTGCATGAATACTGCAGATCCTTCCACTTACTCCCCAAGTAAACTGACCTTGTATCTCAAGCCAGGTCTCTGCTGTCGCCGACGGTTTGCCGTCCCTAGGTCTTGACGTTTTCTAAGTTAAATGGTGTAGTTATACAACTTCTACCCCCTTATATAGTGTTCGCTGAGATCATGATTTGCAAAAACCCTCTGAAGTTGCACAGCAACCATAAGGCTACATACTCCCAGCCATTGGCTTTCGTAATTTGCTTTAATGACCTATCTTATTAAAGACTGGTCTAATATCATAAAATTACTTAAGTGGCAAGCTAAATCATTTTCAGCTATTTCTAGTTGATGTGATATTTGTGCTGGTATATTCTAGCTCTTTTCATCTTAGACTTCTATATAGGTGTGACCAGAGCTTTGATTTGGTGCATTTAAATGTACAGGGGTAAATTACATTCTCTATGCCGAATAGCCTTCTATAGTCATTCCACTGATGCCAAAGGTGCTTCCAATTTCAGTTAAGGCTTGATCCTTTTTTACAGCCCATAGTTGCATATCTCCGCTTTACTCACTACTCTAGTTTTGGTAGTATTAAATCACCCTTCCAAGCAAGTATCTAATGCCATACCATATTAGGACTTATTTGCATGATCCGTTGATCATTTTTCCAAGCAAGTACCCCACAAGTTGGATGCAAGGATGTTGGTAATGCCAAATATAGAGGTGATAGAATGTTGGTGTTGCCTCTTAGTCACCCCAACCGAGAACTTATATGCGCAATCTTTTACAGCCTAGACCTTCTGTGACGCCGCTATCACATGTAGTTCCTACACTCTGCAATCAAGTCTCCTTCCGGGAACTCCTTATTCTGATCTCATACTGCACTTGAACTTTCCACAGGGCTTCGCATCTGATTTGGCTCCATATAGTTACAGTAACAAATTCGAAAATTTGCCACCAGCTCAACTCGAACCGTTGACCTTGTCTGTAGGGGTTTGGAAGCTTAACCAATAAGCTACAGGACCCAAACCCCTTATTTTTATATTTATACTTTTTTTATTTTACTTATATATATATATATATATATTATTTTTTTACTTCTCTATAAGAAAATATTATCAGATAGATAATACTTTATTATAAAGTAGTAATTCTAACAAGGGATGTGACAAAATCAGGTGATTTTTAGGGGAATAAAAATTTTAAAATTATATATAAGGACCTGATCAAAATATATATTAAGAGGGGAGAAGGTCTGATAAAAAAAATTAGGTGATAAATGACACTGCCTCAAGATTATAAAAACTATCTATTAATATTCAGAACTTAAATTCTCAGAAAATTGAGAATTTCAGAAGGAAAAAAGATTATTTAAATAGATTGCAGCTCTAGCATAAAAACTTAACTTGTCATATTTCTACTAGATAATGAGATTGGTTGAGAGAATCTTTATTTATACAGGCCAATAGCAATTTGATAATATGTAATATAGGTTTAGCCAACTAAAACATATCTGTAAATGGTTGCCAACTAATAAAATAAAGGTAAGATTGCTAAAATAAAAAATAAAATAAAACTTAATAAAGCTACTCCAGGTAATATATCAAGAATTCAAATTTCACTAGTGATGAAAATTCAAATTTCTACTTGTATTATAACAACTATCTTCTACTATTAGTTGAAAATAACTATATAGTATGATTTAGTAAAGCTGCAAATCCAAATTTAATTTAAATTTATTTATAAAATAGCAGCAATAATATATTAAACTAAGGATCAATATCAATTAATATCTACCTATTTTAACAAATATTTTTCCATAAATTTGCTAAACAAAATTGATTGACAAAAGATATGCCATAAAATTTTTCAATAGGAAATTTTTTATAGGGATTCGTGTTTCGCACCGTATATCATTTGTTTTTAGAGATTAGGTTGAAAAATGAACTGAGTCATAATTAAGTTGCTGATGAAATAAATTAATTTCACACGTTACGTCTGTCAGGTATTAGCTTCAAATTTAGAATGTTTATTTTTATACTTTGGAAACCTTAATTTACTTCGAGAACATTGACGACGTTTTATTTTTATTTTATTTTATTTATGTAAAATAAAACAACATAAAATGCGAACATGGCCAGGGTGAGTTTCCCGATTATAGTTTATTGGCAAATTTAACCTCTGAAATAATAACCGACTAAGCCGGCTTAGCCGTATCAAAATTATCGACCTAGCTAAGCTTACAAGTTTTTAATCGACTAGAATCACCAAACCTTTACCCGTACCATTTTCCGGAAATTGGCGTACATGACTGTCGTGTTGGAATAGCAGATACTCTGATGTTATATACTTCGATAAGTTCCTATAACCAAATAATGCTAATAAATATTTCCGGCTAAAAAAAATGTACATCGACATGAATTTTATACTATAAATACCTTCCAAGTATTCATATCTATTCCCATGACAAGTTGTTTTTTGATCAAGCCCTCGGCATAATCATCGCCAGTTGGTGGCTCACAACATGCTATTTGGTTTCGAAAAAAGTTAATTTTTGTCGATAGCATGTAAAATAATAAACTAATTGTAAAAATACATGCTTAGGATAGGTTGACCACCATCATCATCAATGTTTACTTTAGCATCACGTACTAAAAACGATAAGTAAAACAAGTTTTCCACTGTTTGTCCAAAAGATTCAGGATTAACGATAAATTCGAAAAAATTAATAGGCGATTTTTCCGCCAATATATTCCAAATATTCCGAACGTTCTTTGTTGTTTCGTTCTCCTGCCTTTCAATATCCCTTTCTTCCAGCTAAAATTTGTGATGAATATGCTTAAGCATGTACTTATACAAACGTCAAGACAAACTTGTAGACAAAATACGTAATCAAACAAGGAACGGAACCTACTTGTTTTGGCATTACCAAATCGTTTTTATTTTTTGACAAAGTTTGACGTACCCCTCTCACGCGTTCTTTTTGTTCAACAGACAATGGGCCAAGACTAATGTAAACACTCTATTTTAGCTTATGTTAGAACAAAGAACGGAAAATGAAGAGTTCACGTACATAAATTCCATTGTTGGAACACGCAGAGTATGATGAGAGGCAAGTTCACCAACTGCACTCCAATTTAAATCAGGCTCATCGTTATCATCATCAACCTGTCTTCCTCCCATAAATGTAATCAACTTGGATATATAGGCATCTACATCAAATGCATTGTTATCCAATTTCATACGACGTGCCTTCTGAACTCCCAAATCGCTAGTTAAAACGAGAAGGCGCGAATCAAGAGTGGCTTCATGTGTATTTTTAACTTTACAAAAAAGGAAAGATCGGCTATGAGTTGGGTTCAAGAAAATTAAATCTTCGAAATTAAAGAAAATACCTTTTTGAACCAATTCATTTGCCTTTGCTATATTATGTGCGAGGCCGTCGGAATCTGATCTTAAGTAGTCCTGGCGTTTTTCTATAGACACGAAAAACTTTGTTAATTTTACCATAATCATAGTTTCCATAATTAATCAACCATTCTTATTGATTTAATTGATTCCCATTCTGAAGGTAGACGTTCATTCAATTTCTCAGTAATATATGATTATAAATATATGACTATGAATTATGATTAGTGCAAATCTAACGAAACTTGGTGGTAATGTGGCATTTGGTATTATTCTTTTTTCGATCTTTATGTTCTTCAATCTATTAAAATAACTTTACTCACGAACAAGCTTAAAGTGCCGATATTACCTTCTGTCTCGGATATGAGATTCCGATATTCCCTGCGCAACCAACGTTTTTCGTCTTTATCTTGGTCAGGATCATAAGTCTCATTATTAAGAATTTTATCGTATTTTGATGAGCTGGTAGGTTCATTATCTTCTACTTGTTTATCTAGATTTATATCCATCGCGTTTTCTTTATCAGAGTCATGAGGTATTTGACGTGTCCCAAAATGCGCCATCTCTTTATATTTTTTATTTGGAGGAAAAACAATACGCGTCAAATCGAGGGAAGTTTGAAAAATTAGTGAAATCAATGCGGTGATTTAATTGATTTAATTGCAAACTTGTATTACAGTGCACACGGTGTTACGTCCGAACAATCCGAACTCAGGTCTTCTATTTATTATATTATAAAAAAAATTTTTTACACTTGAAAATTAGTCAAATTGTAGATCAATTCACAATCAACAATTTGATTTCGATTTGCTAATTTTCGAGTCATTGTCAATAAACAATTCACCGTAATACAAAAATTTTAATATAATGATACTGTAGTCTAATGTAATAGCGATAGTCTAATATACTATATTTTTTTAAAAAACTGCGGGCGTTACCTGAGTGAGGTTTTTTAAATTATTTTTTGTATAGTCATCCCTCTATATAGTCATGTAATCACATTTATGTTTAGGCCAAACTATGGTTTAATTTATAAGAAAAAGGCCTTCATATAAGCACAATTTTTATATAAGCATATTTTAAAAAAATTACTATGTGTTCAACTATTTGATTGTATAGAAGAATGACTGTATTAGTTTAAAAAACAGGTGTTTTATATCAGGGTCATTAATAACTTCTTTTTATTTTATAATGATTTTTTAAAATTTAGAATTAGAATACAAATTACACAAGGTTTTTTAGAGTTTTAAACATTTTTACTAACCTCTGTTTATTAGTTAATTTAATTTATTTTATTTTTATTTTTTTTTTAAGATGACCACTTTGGAGTCTAGCACGTTTTATTAAACTTTGAATCAAATGCCAGGGCAACCACATGGGTTACCCCTGACTTTGTTATATTAACAAGAATATATTCTAGCCATATATACAACTTTTGGTTGTCTATTTAAGCAGTCTTGCATATATAACCCATATAAATTATACTATATGTTATATTTGTAATTTACTATTACTTGAGTTACCCAATTAAACACTCTAATTAACTTAGCACTGTCAGATATTCTCCTAAATAGGAACTGCCGCTAAGGTCTTTTAGAACTATTTTATCCTTGTAGTAAATCTACTAGAGTGGTACATGTCCCACATATGTATTACTTAAGTTTTTAGTAACTTACGCCTAGACTATGACCAAGTACTTGCAGTTTTTTACCTCTACTACCATTACCCAGGGATGTATTTTTTGACTGTCCAAAGGTTTTTTTAGTACTGTTTAACATCTAAATATCCAAGTGTCCAAAAGTGTCTAGAGTATACTTAAGTTTTAATAATTAATAAATTTGTTTAAAATATATATAACTATATATTTTTTTAGGTGCTAAACATATTTTACTTAGAAA